AAAAAAAAAAACAGTGTCACTTTCGAATAAAAAATTTATACCCCATTTTCAAGAAGAGCAACAAATACATAAGCAGTCAGAGGTATGCCACCTTCTGAAGCACCTCCTTGCATAGCTTTGTGATGAATTTCACCGCGTTCCGCAAATGCTCCATTCTCCTGAACCAACAAGAATAAATGAAAGCTAAAATTCGCCACTAATTATGGTGTTTTAAGCCCAAGTTCCTAAGCCTGCAGATTTACACCGAATTTTAATCAGAGGAGAAAGCGGAAGGGGAGGGGTTGCAAAATTCAATCAAAATAGCAGCGCAAAATGTTATCTAATAAGGGTGCAAAACACTTAAAGGAAAAATGCAAAAAAAATGCCAACATTTAACCTAAAAAGACTTATAAAGTATCAGAGAGCAAGAAGGCAGAAACTATTCGAAAATATTTTGATGAAGACATCACACCGAAATGCTACTTTTGTTAGCGATTTTGTTGTAGCAAAATTTTGAGGATGATCATTCTTTGTTTTCCTTTACATTGCTGGAAATGATACCTTTTTTGGTTAGCATTGTTTTTTTGTTTAGTGAGTGATGCCTATACATCTCTCATCTAGCCCACTTCCAGTTGACCAAAATCAAGACTTTTTAAACGTACAGCGATAGGTAGTCACAGAAGGTATGCAAAAATTAATTTAGATTTTATCCAGAGAGGAACCAAATTTTGGCTTGTATAAAACAGAAAAACCGAAATACCCTTCGCGAGCGAGTAGCGGAGGGAGAAAGTCGGGTAAGGTGGTAAGGCAAGGGAGGCAACGGAGGAAGAAGGATGGGGTGCGGAACGACGGAGGGAGGAAGAGGAAAGGGGGAGGGGATTTACCAAAAATTTTGATGAACCTGCTGCTGCTGAGCATTTAGGAAAGCAATTGACTTCTGGAGAATATGTTCATCGATGAAGATGAACCGCTGTGCTTGTTTGAATGATCGAACCACAAAGGCTGTAAGCCAAGTGGATCCATGCTTGTCGCTCTCGCCGAATGCCGAGAACGAATGATCATTTCTTCTAAAATCAGTATTTGGTACCAATAATTGGTAGAACAATAAGGCCAGTGTACATACATTTTTTTAAATTCATTTAAAAGCACACATGGTTAACTTCAGCCTTAATGTAGTGCCGTTTTGTCATTCTAACTTTTCGTTCTTCGTATTTTCAAGCGAAAGACAAATTTTCACGTGAATTCAAACAAAAAAATTTTGTTACAGTAATGCCAGTTCTGATGTTATACTTTTAATACTTTCAGTATATATTTGAAGAGTAGCAACAGCGTTTGAGTTAACAGCATGTATATCCTATGTTAATTTAACACACATGTCGAGAACAGCTATTGCCGAGCCCTTCGATCTGGTCTGCACATCTCTAGTTGGGTTTCACTGCCATCGATGTATGTGCGTCATCTCTTCAGTGCGCTAAACCACGTGTTCGTTTACTTTCCATCCAGTATCAAACATTAATGCGTCATGTCCGCTGGTTGTCGGCAGAAAGTGCAGAAGCTTTACCCATTGAATTTTACTTTCTCATATGATTATCGGTGACAGCAGTGCACAAAACCTGAAAGTAAGTTCTCGCTGATAACCCGCTTCCATATATTTCTTTGCTTTTGCTTGAATCTGAGCACCTCCTTGTTTCGTCGCTTTCAAATAACCAATAACAACAATGTTTGGCACGAAATTGATCATATTTTGTTCACCGCATCCATAAGGCATTCGGACAAGAGTATCAATATTGGCAAGTATTGGGCCCATTATGTCCCCTGAAATAGATCAATTATTTTTTGAAACTTCTAAAATTTTAATCATTTCTAAATAAATTTACTTCTAACTGGTTCTACAAATACTGTTTTTATCACATTTAAATTAATTATTGTATTCTATTTACCTCCATATTTACTCAGTTCCCTAATTTATCACCTCCAAATTAATCGTAAATATAAATTAATCATCTTTAAATTCATTAATCTATCATTCAAATTACTTCTTTCAAGTGCAGCAAAATTTGCCTCGTCGAAAAATTTTAAGTACCTCCTTGCTGTTAAGAGGATGCAGCTTTGGGACAAGACAGTGGTGCTCAGCGCCAAAGACTTCTTACAACAGCTAAATTGATGCCAAACTAATAATGCTAGAAGAATCGCTAAACAGCCCTAATTATGCGTTTTTTGCAGTTATGCAATGCGGAAAATGCATACTGACGAGAAGTTGTCTGTGTGTATGTGTGTGTGTGTGTGTGTGTGTCTGTGTCTGTGTGTGTCTGTGTGTGCGCGGAGCCTCTGTATCGATTTTTCATCTCGAGACCTACAAAAGCTACAGAGCTGAAACTTTGCGGCCTTAACCTACATGCACGTATGGACCCTCATCCCTAAAATGGGCGGTCTTCCCCACGTGGTACCCACGTAAGAGCCCGCCAAAGTTTTTTACTGGTAAGCTGCTAACTCGCGAACATGAAAAGTTAGAATGCTGAAATCTTAAGAGAACGTCCCTCGTCCAGATAGGTACTAATGAGCTCGAACTCAGCTCCCGGGTAAGCGTGGTACCCGCGTACGGCCCGCTAAAAATTTTTTCGGGTAAGTTTATAACTCGGGAACCTGAAAAGCTAAAAGACTGTAATTTTAAGATGTTCCCCGTTCAAGCAAGTCTCAACGAGCCCAAACCCAGACATCGGGTAAGCGTGGTACCGGCGTACGGGCCCGCCAAAATTTCTTTCGGGTAAGTTGATAACTTGAGTACCTGAGAAGCTGAAGCACTGAAATTTTAAGA